TTTCTTTAAAACAATTTGTATTAGAAACTTTGTTATTAAAAAGGTTTTTGAGTGATTTAATTAAGCTAACAATAGAATGTTTGTTTTATTGTTTATTAGGTTTGCAACTCTGACATTTACCTGCAATATATTTTGAATAATAATAATAATAAAAATAAATTAAAATAAAGAAACTTGTTTACATTTCTAAAGATCTTTGTATTTAGTCAAATATGTCGTCTTATGTAGCCAGGGGACTGTTTTATTATATTAAGGATTGAAGTTTAAGTTATGACGGTTTATGTACAAGTGGCAAAATTATTTTATCAAGGTTGTCAACCTCTCCAATATCCGCTTTTTTAAACAGTATATCGTATCCTATTTGACTTTTTCTTAAAAAATAACCTTGAAAGAACTACCTATGGTAAGTGTAGGTACCAACAACTCTGGTTTTATTATGTTAATTTTATGTTAATTCGCAATGAATTGCAGTCAAATAAAATTATTTATTGTGTTTTTGATACCTTACTTAAAATTTATCATGTAAGCGTTATCGAGCCCGATCTTTTTTCTTACACGCCAATGGCCAATTTAGTAAAATTTTGTTTTCATGTTTTATACAAAACTACCTTGTTATAAGAAAATAGTGACTCCAGATAATTTTACGTAAAAAAGGTGCTCTTGTTACAAAGTTTTCGAGAAAAACCCTATTAAAAAATGTAATATATGTGTCTATACCTTAGGGAATAGAAAATATCAAATAAGCGGGCTACGCAAATATCGTTATTTTGTCAGTGGTGACATTAAATGTCAAATCCTTTGTCATGTCATAAATGACAGAACAAACTGTAATTTTTAACAAAAATGGTAAATTACACTTTTCAAGAAATGACCAACATGCATTTCATGTACGGTTAGGCCAATGGTAATAGTCGCGAAGCTCGAAGAACAACTCGAACAGTGGAAAACTAAGAAACGGTTCTGGAAGTAGTTGCCTCTAATCCTGGGACAAGCACTAGAAAAATTGCTATGCAAGAGGACGTTCCAAAAAGTACAGTTTGGGAAATATTGCACGAACAACTGCTATATCCCTATCATTTACGGAGAGTACAAGCTATAAATCCTTAAGATCTTCCACTTAGACTAGAATTCTGTCGCTGGTTAAGAACAAAATAGCATGAAGACGCCAACTTTATTGAAAACATTTTTTTTACAGATGAAGTCGGATTCAACAGGGATGGAATAGGGGTTTCAATCCCGGGATCCCGTAAAAAATCCGATCCCGAAAATCCCGGGATCAAAAGTCCCAATCCGGGGATCTTAGTAATAAGAAAGAATAAAATATACTTTTTTTTCCAGCGTGTGACAATTTTCATATTATAATACTCAAAAGCATATGAGTCGTCTAATTTCAAAACCATTCTAAACCGTAATGAGTAAAAAATAAATATATATGAAAAACTTGTTCATACCCGAGTTCATACCATAATATGGTAACCATATGGTAACTGAAAATATTTTGTCTACAAAATAAGTAACCAGATTTAAGTTTTAATTAAAAAAACATCAATTTCAAAGGAATATGGGCATTTCAAGAACATTTTTCTACTCAATGGGGATGGCCGGTAAAACTAGCATAAAACTTTAATGAATTAAAAAAAACATCTATTTCAAAGGGATATGGGTAGAGATGCGACTTGTTTTTTTTTCAGTTTTTTTTCATTGTTTTTTTTTCAAGATTAGTCCCATTTAACTAATTTTTTCCAGTCCAGTTCATGGACTAAAATTAGCCACTAAATGACATTTAGTAAATGTAAATAAGCGCTATGCACGCGCCACCACCACCGAATTAACCAATCAGGCCTGCGCTTGTTTTGATTTGGTCCCAAAAAAAAACTACCTATAATATTTTTGATTCAGCGCTTGATTTTTCAAAAAGCTACCAAAAGCACTTTTTTCAAATTCATGTAGAGTATGGAATTTTTTTTTTTTTAACAATAGCAAATTCTTGTAGAACACTTATTCATTGGTGGTTAAGTCAGCACATTCCGTGGACCAAAAAAAAAGCCAAAAATATTTCGAATTTTTTTATTACGGTATTCGCTAGGATTGATCGTTGCACGTTTTTCATATAAAAATCTCAAAACTAGAAACTTTTACGGCTCCAATACGACCAGCTATCCGAAAAATCGCAAAAAAATTGGATTTTTTTTATCCTTTAATTTTTTCTATTAGTGTAGAAGTTTTACATTGCTATTGGTTTCTTATGTGGAAACTACCAAATAATAAGAAATCAGATTTTTAGTCTCGGTCAAAATTTTCAATAATGAAAAATTTAATATATTCTACATTTCACTTTATTATTAATGGGTATACATTTTTCTCAAAATTTCATTTTGAAAAATTACTCAATTTTTTAAGATTGATGTTATTTATTCACAGAATATGCTTTATTGTAGCGGATTTGAAAAAAAAACTGTTTTTTTTTATTTTTTTTTTCACATCTGAAAAAAAAACCATTTTTTTACATCTGGGTCATTCCACGTTACTCGGGGATTTTTGTCCCGCCCGTCACAATTAAAAATTGTGAGTAAATACTACACGTTATAAAATTTATTTAAAAATATTGTTTTATTATGCTTTTAATAAGTTATAAGCAGAATAAAAATAATATTATAAAATATTAATTTTATAACTTGCGGTTTTTACTCACAATTTTTAATTGTGACGGGCGGGACAAAAATTACCGAGTAACGTGGAATGCCCCATCTCTAGATAGGGGCATTTCAAGAACATTTTTGTACTCAATGGAGATGGCCGGTAAAACTAGCATAAAACTTTAATTAATTATTTACCTTGGAAATGGCCGTTTTTGTTCGGATATAATTTTGCACTAATATACTACTACGAAATATTTCCATTTTATTGGTGTAAATAACTCAGTTTTAAATTTTTTTGTAGATGGCCGCTTTTGAAACTAGACGACTCATATATAGAAATACTTAATTTTTGTACGTAAGTTCAAAAGTCAAAATATCACTGCCGTACAATAATAAAAATACATTGAAATTACATAGCAAGAGTGGTTCCATCTATCGCGTTTAGCATAAAACCAGCAAAGAAAATGTAAAATTACAGGTCACTGCAGAATAAATTCGTGTACTTAATAAACATATTTCAAACGTCAAACCTGAAAAAATGTCACAAACCCAATTGGAACTCACCAAGGCCCAATTGATAAAATAAATGGAATTATTTGTTAATGGGGGTAAACGTGGGTACAATGTGCCTACGAAATTTTAAAAACCATTCCTCCAACTAGTGTAAAGATTGTGTGTTACTTTATTTTAAATTGGTTTTATAATTAATGATATATATTTTTTTGGGACTGATCCCGGGATCTCAAGATTAGTTACATTTGGTCACACAAAAAAAAGTGGAATGAACTTTACATGTGATTATACTACCCCTATGGATTTTGAGCAGCTGAATCCGAATCCGGTTTCAGAATTTCCCCTGGACCCCCTAGCCCCTAGCCTAGGGGAAATGCGTGAAATCTTAGAAATTTCAGTATCTGTGAAAGCAATAATAAATGAAACGATATTGTTTTCACGTACCTCGAGTCGCTTAGTTCGAATCTCACTGTAGAATTTCCTGAGGGGAAAATGTGTTAAGCTGAGCAAAACTTGCGATTTCTGAAAGGGTGTATTTTTGCGAAAAAAAGTTTTTAGTTATATTTCCGTATTTTGAGTTCCTGAATTCATATCTGACGTAAAAAATGTTCCACAGTAGTTTAGAATTTCCCTATCCTAGGGAAAAACGTGGAAAATTTTGCAAAAATCGAAGTTTCATGCAGGCCTTTTTCGTACGGGAAAGCTGATGCCGTGTTCATTTCTGTCATCAGAATTTTTATCCAGCTCCTCACAATTGCCCTAGCCTACGAAAAATGTGCAAGGATAAGGGAAAATTTCTTAGGTAACTTTAAAAGCGACAATTATAAGAAAATAGTGAAAAACATGTTGCAAAAATTTTAACACTTTCCCGAAAATCTTGGTGATTACAGTGAGGAACAAGGAGAATGTTTCCACCTCTTGGTGGAAAAGAAATGATCAGGGACTAGCTAAAAAAAGAAAGAGGAATCTACTCTGTCGGACGTTTGACGATAAAGGAACAAGGAAAACACGAACGAACTAATATCATGGATTTTTTCGTAGGCTAGGGCAATTGTGAGGATCTGGATAAAAATTCTGATAACAGAAATGATCACGGCAACTCAGAAGACGGAAATATATCAGCTTTCCCGTACAAAAAAGGCCTACATGAAACTTTGATTTTTGCACAATTTTCTACGTTTTTCCCTAGGCTAGGGAAATTCTGAAGTACTGTGGAACATTTTTTACGTCAGATATGAATTTAGGAACTCAAAATACGAAAATATATAAGCTTTCTTGCGCAAAAATAGAACCTTCCAGAAATTGAAAGCGTTGCTCAGCTTAACACTTTTTCCCCTAGGCTAGTGGACTTCTGGAAAATTCTACAGTGAGATTCAAACTAAGCGACTCGAGATACGTGAAAACATTATCGTTTTATTTAATATTGCGTAGATAAAAAATGATTTTACAGATACTGAAATTTCAAAGATTTCAAGCATTTCCCCTAGGCTAGGGGATATCTAGGGGGTCCAGGGAAAATTCTGAGACCGGATTCGGATTCAGCGGTTCAAAATCCATAGGGGTAGTATACTCACATGTAAAGTTCATTCCACTTTTTTGTTTTTGTGGGCCTGTGTTTTCTATCAACGTTTGTGCAGGATTAATTGTGAAAATATGGATGCTGTTAACATTAACACATTAATAAATAAAGATATAAAAAACTTAATAATAATAAATTACCAAAAAACTCAATCTACATACTAATTTAGAATTCAAAGTCATCTCACAATCTAGTAAACATATTGCATAATTTTGTGGAGAACACCTTGTATGTATTAGGTACCAGGTATACAATATACAAAAACTTACCATTTTAATTGCAACTGAAATGACTACTCCTTAAAAATCCCTAATTGCACAAAAAAACCAAAACGATATCGCAAAAAAAATTCATCCACTCACTCTCTTTTAAATACGCAACGTAAAACAATTGAAACAATAATGAAAGACAATCAAGAAGTCTGCGCAGCGCGTTAACAGTTGAAGTGCTACTGAAAACAGTTGAATATTGAAATTTTGCTTGTATAAGGCCCCACCAATAAATCTCCTTCTCTTTCCCCTTACATCAAGTCGACATCACTCTGTCTTTATTTAATATAAACATATAGCACTTTGGATTCGAAAGTTGATATGGCTGTCTTTGTTTAATGCAAGAGATTTTGTTGCGGTTCTTTTTCATCTTGAAGGCCTGTCTTAAACCTTTCTTTTCCTAGTTTGCATTAGCGACTGTTAAGTGGCAGTCAGTGATTGCATTTATTGGTTTAATTGAAATATAATAATTGTTATTGAGGTAAATGTCCCTATTATCGCCATGGCTCTTCTAAAAGATTAATTTTACATCCCATAAAAATCATGATGCCCATCAACATCAATTCTATAATGCAGCATAAAGAATTTTTAAATTGCTTTCCTTACGAAGTGGTCAACGTAGAACATCTTAGGCACAAAAGGTTTTTTTAAGGCATCCCACTTATTAAAATACTGCTATAAGTAGTTCGTGTAACATTTCATGTTTCAAACAAGTTTTTACTGACATAACTGAACCTAAATTTAGTTTTCAGTATCTATATAACGTCACCCTAATATAACAAGGTTGTATGTTAAAAACCCGAAAAATTTGAGTTTGTGCTTCTACAAGATTTTATGTAATCCACCCTTGACATACAACTTGAAAATAACTCTATATATATGTATACATAGAATATACATTCTATAGAATTATTTTTAAGTGGCATGTGAAGCGTAGGCCACGTATAATCCTGTAGAAAAATAGACTTAAATTTTTCGTTTTTTTAAACATACAACCTTGTTATATTAGGGTGACGATAAGTCATCATTTCGGTATTGTATGAAAATTTTTAAATTTAAGAACAAGAACAAATAAGGCAACTTAAAACAGCTGTTGACGTAAGGAAAGTGAAGGGGTTAACTCGTCGTGTATAATCTGGACACAATTACCCTTGTTCTAACTTCTTACTAAGCATAAACCCACTACACCGTTAAGAGTCGACCGAACAGGCAAAATATGTACATATTGTAGTATAGCATGTGAAGCACCTACTTCCCAGCAAAGAGCGTAAACTATTTATCTAGTTCGCGTCTATTTGTCGCTGCTTGAGGCGAGATAATTGGAGCTGGGCTTGCTCCAATTGGTGGCTTTATATCACATGACTGAAGATGTGGTGAATGGCAGTTTTTGTTGCAGTGTGTGTAGAGCAAGTGTTTTTGTTTTGATTCAGATTAAATTATTTAAAACTGTTGTCTGATCTTTTATAGTTTTTGTCTGGATTGGTAAAATTTATTATGCACATACACGCTACACAGGTAGAATTAGCAGTTTTTATTAGGCAACAAGTAGTATTGAGTTTCAATTAAGGTTAGGTTTTCAAAATACCGGTAAGTTTTCTTTAGTTAAATATTTCTGTTTTTTAATGAATCCTGTTTATAACATTATTCTCTCAATAATTAAAACGCATTTTTTAAAAAAAAACGAAAGACAAATATTGGGCAGTCGTCCAACGCCTTTAAAATACTTTTTTCTACTCCCACCTTTAAAACGCCCTTTATCGTACATGTTTCCATGACACTAAGTGACCTTTTAAATACACATTGACAAGTTGTGGCTTTACGGCGCTTCAGTCACGGGCTGAAGTTAGCAGCAGGTTTTTAGTCACGGGCTGAAGTTAGTTTTATGTTAGTTGACAGTTGTCAAACGTCATACAATCTTTAAAATAAAGTGCCTTTTTTGTAAAATAATACTAAATGTGAAAATTATTTTATTATCTCAATACAAAAATACAAAAATATTAAATAGTTACTTAACGCCAATATTTGAAAAGTTTATATGAACATTGTACTGACCTTTTAATTTCGCCGGCAGTAAACTATAACTTAAATTCGGGCACGGACTCCACTGTAAAGGCCTCATAAAACATTTCCTTTACTTTCAATGTGAAAAACTGTTAATTTTCAAGATACATTTAGATTTATAACCTTTATAATTGTGTTTATAAAATGTAAAAATATGAATCTGAATGTGACATTTGACAGTTTCCCCTGTTGTTTCATAGATGGCGCTCTATACAAATTTTTGATTTAAATCATTTTAAGATAATAATAAGTATTTGTCGTAGAAAAAGTATAGTATGCACCTCGTTTAAAAACTTTTCTATACACTCAATAACTTAAGCACTCGCTCGCAAGCTCGCTCGTGCCTAAATTAAATTCGTGTATAAAATGGCGTTTATCAAACTTGATACATAATATACTATTATCTATTTTGCGTTCATAATTACTTCATTATAACACCGCTTTCGGGGCTGTAATAAGATACTTTATCCCACACAAAATTTTGATTTTATAGGTTGGCTATACTTTATACAGCATAATATTTTGCATATTGGTTATAATATTTTTATGATTTTTCTAGTACTTACGAGACTTTTCTGGCAATAAATTTTGTTTAACACCAAAGAAAATCCTTTTTTTCTTCTTTAACATTAACAGCCGCTTATTGTAAATAAGTAAATTAAGGACGGCATGGCGAATCGATTTTGACATTAACTGTCAAACCAATGACTGTGATACCAACTATCTAAAGTAAAATTCGACCAAATTAAATTTAAGGTATAAATTAATTTTTTTTAATAGAATTTTTGCAAAATAAATAAAATAGCATAAAGAACTCATGTCATAAGACCTTTTGTCGCACTCGTCCATTACTATAAATTGCCCGCGTGCGACAAAACGACGTCTTATGATATACTATTTTTAACCACTTAAAATAACCTAAAATGTTTTCAAATTTCTTCATTTGAGGAGCAATGGTAAAACAATAGACATTTAGCTTTTGGCTTGGCGTACGTAGGTGATGAAATTTCAGCATGTAGGTGTGTTTTGTTTTTTACATAACCACTTTTATACTTTCTTTAACAGGTGAACGTCTATATTTAGCAACCAAACAAGTGCTTTAAAAAAATAATCGATCCGATAATCTGGTAATGTAATGAAATTCAATCTCAAATATCCAACGAATTTTGGAAAAAATAAAATATTTGATCTGTATCAAAGCTTAAAGTTAAAACTCATATAAATTATGTTAATTTTTTACAATTCGATTATGAAACACTTTGTTTAATATAATGCGAAATATTTTTGTCCATGTCCTGTTTGATTAAATCTAGACGATGGTCAAATGATATGAAAACTTGCAATAATTGTGTTTGATACCAATCTATGTAAAGGCGATTGTAATTGCAGGAAATACATTAATTGGTTAGGTATTTAATATACTGGGTGTTTTACCTTTTTTCAAAATTCCTAGAAATAAGGATTTTTGGTTTATTATAATAGGTTTTCAGTTTTTTCAAATTATTCCAATATTTGGATCCCACTTTAAGGAATTTAAATGTGAATAAAAAAAATACTCTTAAATATAAGCATACTTAGTGCAACCTGTATAAGCCAAAAATTTAAAATAAAACAACAATCAGTTTAAAATTTGGCAAACCTATTTATTTATTTAAGCATTTTTTTGCATAATATAATTTATTAACGTAAACTTGATAACCTTAGAGCAACATTAGGTTTTGTCGGTTGTAGTATAGTTTTTTCATTCACGGGAAATTATCACTAAACACCACTCGATCTTTTTTTCATTAAATGTTTTTAAATCAATGACTTCATGGAAAGAACATTTTGACATCTGACATTGTCAAAATGACTGACAAAGAAGTAAAAGATAAGCAGGACGAAAACAAAGAATTATCTTTACCAGAAAAACTACTTGAAACATTTAAATCATCACCGACCAATCAAATTTTGTTTGGTCTTGCGTCTGGTTGGATTTCTGGTTATGTGGTGATCAAAATTGGCAAAACTGCTGCTCTGGCTCTAGGAGGAGGCATAATAATACTGCAAGTAGCAAATAATAAAGGCTTCATAGATGTAAATTGGAACAAAGTTAGCAATAAGATAGACAAAGTCAGTGAAGATGTTAAGAAGAAGGTGGATAATAAGACAGGATTTTGGAGAAAAAATGTGATTGATTTGGTTATAAGCAACAAAGAAGTTTCTTCAGCGTTTTGCGGTGGATTTTTAATAGGTTTAGCTTCAAATTAAGTTTTTATTAAATATAAGTTTTGGCTGAAATGTTAACTTGAATTCTAATAAAAATTAGGATCCAAATTCTTTATCAATTAATTAACAATTAAATATAAAAAAACACTTTATTCAAAGTGCTTATAAAGTAAAATTTTTATAATATTTTTTGCATTCATTAGAGATTGCCACTTTCTAAAATAAATACCCAAAAAACTTACTAATGATAAAGTAGTTAAAATTCAATTACACAAATCTATTCTTGAGTAAATGAATTGTTTGTGTAAAAAAACAATTATTAGAATTAATCAAATTTGTTTTAAAATGTTAATTGGCCATGCTCCAGATATTTCGTCATAATTTTTAGTAGTTTGTCCAAAAATTAAATCAAATTAACAAAAAAAATACTTGCATATTGGTGACATTTTAGGTTGTTAAATCAGATCATTTGACCTTTTATTTTAATTTTAATATTAATTAAAATTTACCGCATAAATTATGACTCACAAATCATTTAAAATGTGCTGTTAATTTTCAATACGCATTTCATTTCATAAACCTAATCAAACTAAATTTAAAACTGATCGTAAACAAGTTTAAAATAGTAAAAGTATTAAATCAGCTGCAGGGCTTTTGAGAGATTACTAAAGTTACGAAATTACAAAAATAAAAAACGATATTGTGCAGTAGTATGAATATATTTCTTAACTGTCAATTTTTGTCTGTTGTATTTTTAATAAAAAATAAAAACTTATCACCAGCACTGGTTTATTTAGTTCCTATATAAAATCCATTAGCGAATGGCTAAATTCTTAAGCTTGTTCAATTATTAGCTGGTTATCCTTCAACAATAAAAAAAATTGTAATATGATCGACTTTTTTTTTGTTAACTGTAGGTATACCATACAACATTATATATTTCCTAGAAATATTATGCACATAGTTATTTATGTAATAAATAATAAAAAATAAATAATAGTTTAAATTAAATTAAATTAAACTTCCATACTCCTACAACTAAACGAACCTGTAGAACTTGAATTTTGATGTTGGGTGTTTTTTTGTAAGACATAGGGACTTATATACGTATTATTATTAAACTGTTGGTGTATTTAATGTTCCAAAATGTTCTTTTTAGCGACGTTGTAATATTTCCAAAAAATTGCAAAACATGAAATTTTTTTAAAATCTTGCTTCAGCAAGTTATCTAGCGGTGTTGCCTAATTTCTGAAAATTTAGTAAATTTTGAAAAGATTTGATATTTGAAGATTTTTTAAAAGTACTAGACTCTTTGATTTTTGGGTAATTTGACAACGTTGCAAAATATCCCAGATATAATTTATTACATTCGTCAACATTTTAAAAGTATCCAAAAGATTTTTTAAAGTTCCCAGATTCAACGACGTTTTCAAATTTACAAAAAAAGCTCCAGCCGATGGACATTGTCCAATTTACAAAAATATCTCAAAATCTTCAAATATCAAAAATCCTCAGCAAATCATCTGATTTTGAAGTTGAAATTACCCTTATTCTTTCTTAGAAACAAGGGGGCAAAGCTGCGGGTTTCAGCTAGTTTGACATAAACTTAAAAAAATTTTAAAACTGAAAACGTTCCATTGGCTTACTCTATACAGGGTGTTATGTAATTAATGTTATATATTAAAATGGGTTGTTCCTTAGGGTCCATAAAGAAGCACCTGAAACTTTTTTTTCTAAATTCCAAAGACTAAAAATAATTTATAATAACCTTTATCCTATCAAAAAGTACGCCACTGATCGACTAGGAACTTTGGGGTAATCTGGTTGCCTAATTTAATTTATTATGTTATGGTTTGTAACCCTGGTTGGTAACAACAGCGTTTCCAAATTCTGTCAAAAAAGTTGACAAACATTGTTTAAATTTAGCTTAATTACAAAAATGATAAAATTAACAATGCAAATTGTCAATTTGGCGTTTTTATTAATTGTTGGTTATGTCATTTTTGTACTGAAGGTAAATTCAAACTAAATCTGACAACTTTTATGACATAATCTATGTGCTCAAATTGTAAATATTTTAACTAAGGGAAGTGCTTTTGGATTTATTTACACAAATTAAATGTTTAAAGTTTAACCTGTGAACTGGTCCCAATTTCATCTGAGTAAACAGAAAGAAAAAAACCGAGGAAAAAATTAATTTTGTGGTTATGAATTTTTTAAAATAGGTACTAAATTAATTTTCTAATCATTGCTTAAGCTAATAGCTGGATGAGTAAAGGGTAATTAGAGATTTAAGGGCATACAACTTGTATTTATTGAGTTTTTATTTATTTTTTGCAAGAAAAATTTTTAGTAACAATTTTTTATATCTGGCAACGAGCAGCTACTTTGTTGGTTGTATCTATGTACTCACAGAACACAAGTGTGCAGAGATAAACCAAGTGTGTAACCAGTGGCGTATCACAAAAAATATAAAAAACTTCTAATGCCTATTTTTTCTTTATCTTTGGAAAAATATTTTTTTAAATATTTTTCCTTTACTCCTTATGTCAAAAGGTATTCAGTATTTTAATATACAGGGTGGTCCAGTTTGAGATACATTAATTTTAGGAGGTGATAGAGAATCAAAAATGAAGGGGACTTTCCTAATAAATTATTTTTCAAAAGTGCCTAATAAGGAAGCTATAGCCCTTCAAAGTGGGAAATAAATAATCGTTTTTTTAGCATAACTTTTGAACCGTTTAAACGATTTGGTTTAAATTTTAACCAAAGTTTGATAAAATAAGTCTTGTTCGACCAGTGATAACGCGTTTTATCAAAGTAATTCAGGGGCGTAGATGATGGGGGAAGCTCCCCTTTTTCCCTCTCCATTTTTCAACCCCTTGCTATTTTTATAAATTGTTTATATTTTTGAATTCAACATTAAATTTGAACAAAAAAGTTACCCCTGGAAAATTGTGACTAAAGACTTTGTTTTCGAGATATTCGAGTTTGAAGTTTTTAAAACATGTCGAAAATGTAGAATTCATGTTTTTGAAATGTAATATTTTTGCCCATTGCATGCCATGTAAAGCAATTTGAAATATGTAGGTAGTCAAATATATTTTTCTTCTGCGATATTCTCTAACGGCCGCTGCGGCATTTCCATTGCAGAATCCATAAACAAAATGTATGCCTGCAGACTCGGCAATGCTGAAGAAATTTGGCATTCTTCGTAAAGATATTTGACAAAATCAATCGGACAAACAGAAAATAAGTTTACCAAATATGCCTAAATGACATTTAGTGGAACATTTCGAGGCTTGACGTAAGGCTACTTGATCACTTTTCCTCAAAACTTTTTCCAAAATTTAAAGCCGAATTTGAAAATATGAAACAAACCTTTAAAAATCTGAATTGATTCCGAGAAGTATTAAAAACGATACTTACGAAAGAAAAATAAATTATCTACCTACTCAAAGTTATCCCTACGAAATGTCAAAAATCTATTAAAATCCGAAAGAGTAAGGAGTGCCTTTTAAAACCTGTTATTTTTGTTTGCATCAAATAAATAACGAAATTTAGATATGTAAAAAAAATACTTTGAAAACATGAATTGTGCATTTTCGATAAAATTAAAACACGAATATCTCAAAAACAAAGTCTTCAGTCACAGTTTTCCAGGGGTAACTTTTTTGTTCAAATTTAATTTTGAATTCAAAAATATAAACAATTTATAAAAATAGCAAGGATTTGAAAAATGGGGAGGGAAAAAGGGGAGCTTCCCCCATTATCTACGCCCCTGAATTATTTTGATAAAAAGAGTTATCACTGGTCGAACAAGACTTATTTTATCAAACTTTGGTTAAAATTTAAACCAAATCGTTTAAACGGTTCAAAAGTTATGCTAAAAAAACTATTATTTATTTCCCACTTTGAAGGGCTATAGCTTCCTTATTAGGCACTTTTGAAAAATATTTTATTAGGAAAGTCCCCTTCATTTTTGATTCTCTATCACCTCCTAAAATTAATGTATCTCAAACTGGACCACCCTGTATAACATTAATTACATAACACCCTGTATTGAATATTCTTTTTGAATTTTGTAAATTCTGAAAATTTAGTAAATTTTGAAAGATAAAATATTTTTGAAATTTTGGATATTCTGAAAATTTTGTGAATTTGATAAATTTTAAAAACTGCGTAAATTTCAAGAATTAGTAAATTTTGTAAATTTTAAAATATTTTTGAAATTTTAAATATTACCCAAAAATTTGTGAATTTTGTAAATTTTGAAAATTACGATAATTTTGAAACATTTTGGAAATTCTGAAAATTTTGTAAATTTTGAAGATAACAAAATCTGAAAATTTTGAAATATTTTTACATTTTTGAATATTCTGAAAATTTCGTAAATTTTTAAACTTTTAGATATTTTGGAAAATCTGAATTTTGTAAATTTTTGCGAATTTGGGAATTTTGAATATCCTAAAAATTTCGTACATTTTTAAACTTTTAGATATTTTGGAAAATCTTTATTTTGTAAATTTTGAATATTCTGAAAATTTTGAAAATTTTTGGAAATTCTGAAAATTTAGTAAATTTTGAAAAGATTATAAATTATATAAATTTTAAAATATTTTTTTGAAATTTTGGATATTTTCAATATTCTGAAAATTTCGTTTGTGAATTTTTGAAATTATGAATATTATTAAAATTTTGTGAAATTTGTTAATTTTAAATTATATATAATATATATAGTTATAATATAGAATCTATATTATAGATATTAATTATATAGCCCTTTCAGAGGAAAACCGAATATAACTATATATATATGGGGCGTGGCCTCGCCTCCCTCCAACGCGCGACACAGTAGCTAAGCAAATAGCCTGCATCGCTAATGAGATTTTTTGCATTATTATCATTTAATTTTTTAAGTCGTCTTACCTGCTCGACCTTTCGCATGTCGTTTATCACACAAGCTACTGTGACGCGCCTTGGAGGGAGGCGAGGCCACGCCCCATATATATATATATAGATATATTCGGTTTTATTCTGAACGGGCTGTATATTTATATTATAAAATTTTGGAGATTTTGAAAATTCTAAAAGTTTAGTAAATTTTGAAAAGATTCAAATATTTGTAAATTTTGAAATTTTGAATATCCTGAAAATTTCGTGAATTTTGTAAATTTTGAAAATTACGTAAGTTTTTGAGATTTTGAAAATTCTGATAATTTTGAGAAGATTGCAAATTTTGTAAATTTTTGTGAATTTAAAAATTTTTAAAAAATTCGGATATTTTAAAAATTTTGGAGATTTTGTAAATTCTAAAAATATTGCAAATTTTGAAAATAAGTAGGTATTGGAAATTTTGTACATTTTGGAAATTTTAAAGATAAACAAGTAGGTACGTATCAAACGCCTTAAATTAACTTAAATGC